TTTTACGGAATATAAGCCAGGATAATATATAATTTTTAAGCTACGTTATATAAGGGGACGAGACTTTAACACCCGTCATATAAGGGAAATTTTCGGAAGTAACTAATAAGGAAAATTGAATGGCAATTTCATTCTTAAGATTCGATATTTAAAGTCGCTTCGACTAGGGACGGGAATAAATCCGAGATACACCATTTCGTATTTATGTGCCGTCGATCTGGTCGCATCCACATTCGAATCGATCGAAATCCTCTTCCCCTTTCGGGCTTAATAATAAAAGGCGCCAGATTTTATGTTTAAACAAAAACGATGGAAGAATGCAACTGGCAAATCCGAGGTTAGACGTAATTACTAAACGAATATTCGACGGGAAAAAATAATTCCGGCCGCAGACGGGCGTAACGGAATAACTATTTAGTCGATTATCGGCGGGCAACGGGAAGAATCGTTGCGTCCGAGCGGAGGAAACCCGCCGACACCCCCGAGTATCGACGTAAAGATCTTACAAATTTAGACGGTGATTTTTCTTCTTATTCTCTGGAGACTTCCGAGCTACCGACGATCGGAACCCACCTTCGCAGATTAAGAAAGGAACTAACCAATGCCGAGACTCGAGAGGTAATCTAATATCTTTTAAGGTAATTACTCCCATAATGGAATCTCTTACGTAGAGAAGTCTATTAAATCTCCATCAATCGACACTAACGCCGGACTTTAAGACGTTAATAATTATAAATCGCAAATACCAGCGAGTAACGCAAAATTTTCCCTAAATTAAATAAACAAATTTATTATTTACGGGTAAAAACTCGCCGATTTCTCCCTTGGCCTTCCGGGAATATTTACCATTTACTAAAAAACAAACGTATCGAAACGTTCGTGTCTTTTATCCATTTAAAACCACCATTTCTCGAGGCCAAAAGACGAAATTTTACGAAATGAAATTCACGGAAAAGCCTACGATCCAGGTAAAAATCCACGGCATACTTTTATACTTAAATTATTCGTAATCTCTGTACGGTAAACAAACCGGCGCAGTAATAAGCTAACGTAAAATACGGCGAGTAAGCGTAATTTAAGCGGACAAATGCGTAGGAAACAACAGAAAGTTTTTTCCACAACCGAAATTACGATTTTATGCGCAATCGATCCGAGCCGACGTTTGCCTTTCCACCGAAATTTCCCTAAATCCCCAAAATCTTCGTCGCGTAAAAGAATGAATGCGTAATTTAAACGGCATAAACTGCTTAGCTCGACGTCCTTTCTATTTTTATCCGTCCCCGGTGGCCGATCCGCGCAGCTAACGGAACAAAAATGCAAAATATCGAGATTAAGCCGTCGAATTTTGGGCCTGGGGAAAGCGATTCCCGGATGCAATCTTCCTTAATTTGGCCAGGAAAATAATTGCGGCGAAAACGTTATCCCGAGTGTTGGGAGGAAGAATCAGTTTTTATTAAAAGCGCAGCAACAGGTTGCCGTATCGATCGACCGTCCAAAACACACAAATGACGCGTGAAAGGCGAGTAAACAAGCGCCAACAAAAATATTTCGTGCGCAGAAAACGTAATAAAACGTTTAGACTCCTCTTAGGATGGCTTACACCTAATTGCGTCGGAGCTTAATTACGTAATATTGCGCTGGAGCTTTCGGCGTTATAACCGGGAGAGAAAAACCTCTTCATTGCACTTTTAAACCCAACAAATTCTGATTGGCTAAACCGCGATTAAATTTCGATCCAACAAAATCGTTTGCGGTCGAATTTCGATTTAACGCCACAGTTTCTTCCCTTCCGAAAGTGGCGATAAATGGAGCCTGGCGCTAAACCGAAGTATCCCGGGCGATACGGCCGGAGAGTTCGAAAGTCGGGGACGATCCGGTAATACGGCGTTTTACGCGGGTGATGCCAATTAATAAGACGTTACATCGAAGTTCGGGCCTGTTCTTCGGATGTTATAACGATTATCGGCGGCTGGCTTATTTTAATAAATCCGCGGAAAAAAATTACAAACGGTAGAAACTGTCGACAGAATTCGCTTCATTTTATTCAAATGAAATTTGCGTAACTGTTTTGGCAAGGCGGCCCTTAAGCTTCGTTGGCAATTAAGATCTAGCAGTTTATTCCTTATTCTACTTACTTTATTGAATAAATAAGCGAAAGTTAATTAAGCGCTGGTTTTCGCTAAACAATAATTCGAAAACGTTTCATAAAAATGCCCTGGCGCCGTTTCTCTCGGAAAGAAACGTTCCAACTGTTTTACTTAACAAAGGGGAGCAAATTCGACATTCGTAATTCAAAAGTTAGATTTATACCGAGGCATATTTTGAAATTCTACAGAAATATGAGCGGTCGAACCTCCGTACGGTACCTTTGTAAACGGCGCCACCCCCAAAAGCCGAAACTTACCACAGTGGCGCTATTTAGAAGGACCAAACCATCGAGTCGGCTATTTCTATACATAACTCTTACCGCTCGACGTACCGCGCCTCGATTTAGCGTCACACTACATTCGGAGGCGCTAAATCCAAGTTCGACCGTAGACGGTTACGTTATTCGAGGAGAGTAAAGCGAAATTAGTAACCGTTTCGAAGACGGAAACAAAGGAAAGATGACGTAAGTAGAAGGAACGACCCGGTTGACGCTTCGATAATTAATCGCAGTCTACTCGACATTCGGTTTTATTTTACTTTTTCCGAGCAACCGAGAAAAAAACTAATTACGAGATTAAAAAAAAACACATAAATAAGCGAAAATACGATTAAGATAATTGTCGGAGTATCGAAAGGGGGAGATAATTCCTTTTCTAGCTCCTTTATTGACGCAGAAACAAAAAATGTTGGAGTAGAGAGGATAGAAAGACAAAGAACCCGCCTGGTAAATATTAGAACGTTAAGGAATACCCACATTTTGGAATACAAATATCCGAATCGGTAAGTTTTCAACGAAGAATGCTTTAAAGAACATACGAGAGAATAAACTAAGTTCTAAACGCTGTATTCTATATATACTTGGGTTGCCACTTCAGTTTTCTTCCATCCTCCCGAGCGTTCGAAAGACCATAAAAGCAATATTTTCTGTAGATACAGAAAGAGGAAATCGAGTCGTCACTCGAAAGCTCTTTGTCCTCTTTACGGCGTTGCCACTTCCGACCCTACCGTAGGGTTTCCGTACACTCCGGCGGGATTTTAGGGTGGCGACAAATAAATGCGCGCCGAAAGTTCTCCAAGACGACGACTCGCCCCGGGCACTTAACGACGATCTAACGATTTTTCCCCACACACCAATCCCGGCGGGTTTTTAGGTTTTTGCCACTTTTTCAACGTTAGCGTGGAATTTTTCCCGTTTTATCGCGCGTGATAAGTAGGCCTAATAAGTCAAACATTAATGAAGTAAGGGAATTTATCTCGCAGTCGGCGTTAAGCTTACAAGGCAACAAAGACGGCCGAAACGCGAGATTACGATTTCACGCTTTTTTGTACTGTACAGAACACTCGATGGGCTTCCCCTTTCTATCGCTTCCGCTCGGCGCGGAAGCGACAGCGAGAAGCTAGTCGCGTTCCGTAGCTGCTTTATTTAATAATAAAGTAGCTTCCCTCTGGGAAAGAAAAGGCGAGAGAGGCGAGTCGCTAACTCCAAACAATCTCGAATCTGCCATCGTTACTTTCCACCCAATTAAATCCCTAATTCTTTCGTCTTATACCGGCGATTCTCAAAGCAAAAAAGGACGGAGTCTTATACCGGCGAAGCAAAAAAGGACGGAGGTTGGATTTCGTACAGAAGTTATCCTCTCCTTCCGTTTCTTCCAAATAAAAAGGCGCGATATCGAATAAACCGTAAGAAAATTCTACTTTCTTTATACGGGTCGACCACGGCTAATCCGACATCTTCGGAAACCGTAGGAGGCCGGATAAGCTATTTTGCCGGATTACCGAGGGCGAAGTTAGAGTACGCTTAACCTTCTCATCCGTCTAAAATATCCCGTAAATCGGTACGAGTAGGTCAATAGAGAAAAGGCAAAGATCAAACGAAAATTCTTGTCGAATTATCGTACATTTCGTCATTACGGTACGCGTGACCGAGTCTGAGCACCCCCAACGGTAGCGGCGCGTGGGTGAGGCGACACCACAAACTCGAAATTAGGCCGGGCGAAAGTAGTGCCGGATTAGCGAAGAAACTGGATTAGCCACGGTCGACGTAACAAAACACATCCTTAAGAAGCCAACAGTTTCCTGGGGACGAATTTTGCATAGGAAACGCCGGGAGTTTTTACGGACGAAAGAGCGCGTGGAAGAGCTTTCGTACCCCGCCAATTAATGGAATTAATAACGCGTCGATCCGGCCGATCTTCCTCCGTTTTCTCCCCCTCGTGGTCAAACCAAACCGAATCAAACTTCCGGTTTTACCGACGGAAAAATATCGGCGGAAACTCCCGCCAAAGAGCGCAAAAACTGGAGAAGGCGAAAGGAAAATTCGGGAGCCGCGACGAGTTTCGGGGAAAAATTTCGCTCTTTCCGGAAGAACCGGGAAGGAGTAAGAAATCCCCGAAATTTGAGGAAAAAAATTTCGGCGGATGGGTCCGGACATTAATTTCTCCTCCGGGGGAGAAAAGTCGCATTCCTTTCCGATAATAATAAGGTGGAACCGAAGAGGGCGCGCGATAGAAGGAAGACTTTTTTCCCACCGGCAAAAGAAAGCCCGAAGGAGGAAGAGGGCGTCCCCCTCTCCGGGAGGAACGGAGGAGACGGCCAGCGGAAGTCCCGGAAATGGAGGGGGCCCGGGGGCCCGCGGGCCGGGGAGGAAAGGGGCGGGCGGCCACTCACCAGAACGTCCAGCATCCGGCGGGTGACGCTCCGACGGGACGGGGCGGATCCGGTCGACCGACGGCCGCTCATCTGGCTTCCCCGAGACGCCGGCGCGCACCGTCGACTGAGGAAGTCGGCGCGGGCCCGCCTTCCGCCGCTTCCGGCCGACGGCGGCCGCCGGCAGCGCCGCCTGGCGGCCCGTCCCGTCCTCCGCGCCGCTCCTCCCCGCGCCCGCCGGGCCCTCCCCGGACCGGGCGCCCGAACGGACGGGAAACGTTAAATAGGCGGCGCCGATCGCGGAAGAGAAAGAGAAGAGGAGAGACTCACCTGCAGCAGCATGTCGCGGGTGTCGAGTCGACGAAGTCGCTGGATGCCCTCGTGGATGTCGTGCAGGCGTCGCAGGTTGTCCTCTGCAAAGAGAAACGAATAGGGGTGAGTGCCGGCCCGTGTTACCAAGCCGCGGCCCTCCCGGAGAAACGGGCCCCCAACAAAACGGCCCTCCGTTTTGTCGGGGGCCCTCGGTTTTTCGTCCGCGTTGGAGGGGACGTTACAAATAACCGGAGACGAGGAAAGCGTATCGACCGGGGAAGAGACGGTGCCGCACGCGGGATTAGGAAGTCACCTCGGGTCTTACTCTTTTCCTTTTCCGTCGTTGTCCGAAATCCTCGCGAAAACCCGGTTAAAAGAAGTCTCTCGGCCCGTTACCGTCTCTTATAATCCCCGTTCTACGAACAGAGCCACTTAAAAGGAGTGGTCCGAAACTCGGTTAACCCGGATATATTTTATTCGGGTTAATCGACTTTTCCATCAGCCGTAATACGAATACCGACTCCGTCTTTGGAAGCCTCCCATCGCCGCTATTTTACTTCGTTCGGGGGGCTTTTTATTCATTTGGTACCAATCCGACATCCGTAATACGTGATAATCGACGGTATAAAACGGGTCGATGGACAGATAGAGATTTCACCTACTTTACGATACGGATTTGATATTTTCACTAATTATCCGTATCGTCCGTCCAGTCTAGTTAAAATTTTCATTTTCGTAAAGCATTTACCGAGGTTTCTGCTTAATGCCGCGTAATTTTTCTGTAAAAGCACCGTTTTTATACGTAACTTATCGACGTGTTCTGGAGGAGAAATGCCGTAAATAAAACCGTGTAGGGAGTCTGAAACGAGACCGGTGACAGATACTGTATATAAATATGTATAATGAAGAGGGAAGAGAAAACCGTTTCTTCCCGTCCTTCTCCACACCGGGAAATTATTAGTAGGAAATAGCGTAAAAACGGTTCTCCCAGTCGAAAATACACCCAATGATTGTTCGATTCCAAAATATATTTATGTAAGGAACGGTAAAGAAGCTAGGTTTTTCATTCCGGGTGAGGGAAGGAACGTTGTTTGTCTGTAAACTTTATCGTCCGACGAAATAATTTTTTAAATTTAACGGTCGATTTTCCGAATGACGTACGCGTAAAAAAACCGTTTGGCCGGGACTGTAATTACTTGGCCGATCACCCGTTCGCATTTCGAAAAACCCTCCAATAATAGAATACAAGCTCTCCATTTCAAATTAGTGGCGGCTTGCCCCCGTACACCACACTTTTCCTTTAACGGTAAAGCTGTGCCGGTCATTTATCTGACACCTTTCGGGGGGATATTTTTGAATTGAATCGTATATAGTAATCGGCCGAGGTTTCCGTATCTGGTCTTTCATCTTTCTAACTCCGTTCTCGAGATTAAGGAAAGACAGACGACTGACGACAATGGAAATTTATAGGTGTATAATTTTTTTCAAATTGCAGCCCAATAATCAGCGTAGATAAACTGGAATAAGTCATTTCGGAGTGGGAGGGCGGGTGATTGAAGAGATTTTAGGGTGGACCCGCATCCACCCTCGTCTCACCTTAATGCGTATACGGACGATTCTTTTAACAAATCTTTCCAGTTTATTGTTTAATATTTGTAACAAAATCCTTAGCGTAAACCGTTGACGAATTTTAAAAATTTCGTGTATCCATCATCAATTTTAATGCATTCTCCGTCGAATGACTTTAATTTCGCAAAGTTGCGGCGCATCGTCGTCATAAATACTCGAGGATTAGATTAATGACGAATCATTCCGGCTCCATCTTCCGACTGGTTTTTCTCTCTCTCTTCTTCCAAAAGATGACTAATTTGGAATCTTTGCGCTGTTTATAGGAACCAGGCAGACAATCGGTAGTTTAGGACCCGTAAGCTAGGGCTTTTCACGCGAACAATAGTTAACAATAGTCGAATACCCATCAAAACCCAAGATTAGGCGGCATTTTACATTAAATTCGGCTTCTGTTACGAAACTGTTGTACTGTACGTAGCAAACGGAAATGTTCGCCGGTATAAATGTACGTAAACGGCAAGTAGTACGTCTTCTTTTATGATGTTAAAGCCGTATACGAGCCGAAAGACTAAATAATATCGACAGAATTAAGAGAAAATTTCTTAGTTTATTTCTTTCTTTTTCGTACCAAACCCAACTCGGCGTATATCTATGGAAATTACAGCCGTTAAAGTTCCGTTTAAAACAAATCGAAACACTACCGGAAAAGTGGAAATTCTCAAAACTAAGTACGTTACGGACAAAACTTAATTGCGCATATTTAACGGAATGTAATTACTTTATCCTTGGCGTGAGACGTTAATAGGAACACAACCGATTAAATTTCACTTAGTTTCCAGTACAATATTCTTATTTAATTCCGGTTTATCAAATTCTAACTTCGGGTTTTAAATCGTAACAAACGTTCAACCGCCGGAAACGGCTACGTTTATACGCGCAATTGGACGGAGACGGGCCACACCTACCGGACATTTTCAAAATAAATAATTAACATCTTTCGCCGAAGTACTTTCGAATTTCTCAGCCCTGGGATGCCGGGCGCTAAGAAATATAATTTTCTCGAAATTTAAATACTACTTAATTCAAACGAAATCGCGCCCGGTTACCGATTTATTCGGGAAAATTAAACCAAAAAAAAAAAAGTCGATTTAATTGACTTAAAAGGGAGGAAACAATATTAGAATTTAAAAGACTCGTCTACAGACACACTTCTTTTTTCCTTCCCTCCATTTAACAAATCGGCGTATAACTAAGTATATAAAAATAATGTTCTTTATCGGTAAAGTTCGTGACTTTCCAAAGCATTTTTAACGTTAATCAAAACGTAACATTTACTTTCTACCGAGTTAAAATCGCTTTAAACGCATTCAATTAAGCGATTTAACGTTCCGTTTCGTTACCGCGCGCTTCCCCCCTCAATTATTATTATTATTATTAAAATTTGGAAAATCCTATTAACATTTTCATTAAATATTTTATTTGTTAATTCATAAAATAAGATGCATTTACTGGCATTTAATGTTTCTAGACGATATTTTCTGTTCCGACAACGCATTACCCGTTCCGTAATGGACGTGTTAAACAAATATAATATAACCAACTGCAAAAATCTATTTAAAATCGAGTTATTAAATATTTCATGGCTTCCCAGCAAACGATTTCTAAAAAAAATCCTATTCGCATTTTCCTTCGGAAATTAAAACTGATTTAATACTACTTACTTACTTACTTATTCTTTATTAGGCACCTTGCAGGTGCATTCCCAGTACCGTATTATACATAGCTGAGAAATATATATACAATTTTTTATATGAAAATATAATTTACAAATGATAAAACCGCTTGACAAATTGTAGGAAGACAAAGTAAACAAGTTATACAATATCAGTATGAATTTTACAAATCGATACCGTGGTAATGAATAGAAATGGTTATACAGGTGTTGGGTGTACCAATATAGATATAATCTTACAGCTTGTCATGCAGGTTATTAAAAAGAAAGTACAGTACATAAGATAAAATAGAGGTGAACGAAAATTAACTAAAACTAACTTAAAACTAAACTTATGACTATCTTAAAACTAAACTTATGCTATATAACAATAAACTGAGCGTGTTGTATTCTAATCGTAATACAAACAGAATGTTATGAAATCTTGAAACCGAGTGTCCACAGCACAGTTTTTCTAGTTTGGTGGTAAGTTTTGTCGAAGCTCATCAATGTTGAAGCCGTGTATACTTCATAACAGATATTTAGATAACACAGACTATCGACCATCACTAGTTTATGGAACCAAGTTGCATGTTGCACAGTATTTTCCTGATTGGATGGTGTATTCTTATCACACAGATGTTTAGATCACTCAGACTATCAACCAGCAAAAGTTTATGAAGCCAAGTCGCAAAGTTGAACACTGCTTTTCTAATCCAACGGCGTATTCTTATCCAATCACATCGATAATGGTCTTATCCAGTCACATCAATGCAAAGTTTCCTTAGACTTGCAGTAGGCATTGATTGTTACTACAAGATGGGCTCAGATAATTGCCTAGCACGTCTCTATCGTTACAGCACATAGGCTGCATCCAAATGTCATGTCCTTTCTCAAATGGAGAAAACACATATTGCAGTAGAGGCGCTGAGAAAGCAAACGGTTTAGCATAAGGACACAAGGTTCAATTAAGGTCACTTGTCTACAGCTCAAACAATGTTTTCAAGATATCCATAATCCACACTTCTTTTATAAATGTCACGTGTCTGCGGTACAATGTATCCAAGATATCTTATGTTAATTCACGTATCTACGTCAGAGACAATGTGTATAAGACATCCATGATTCTGCACTGAAGCAATTTATTTGGCCAGGAGACTTTGCAATTCTTCTTGCGAACTGACTGTGATGAGTTATGTATTCGATTATTATGAAGATAATAAACACGTTGACTGAACACAAAGGTCATAGATGAGACATAGTGATCAAAGTATGTTGAATGTTTTTAATAATCACGTATCCATCGAAGCCTTTATATGGTAGTAAAACATTTTCATCTGTCAAGTCCTCTGACAATTCAGCAAAGTGGCAAATGTAAGAAAAGGGTCGTTAACAATTGACGACAGAAAATGCAAGAGAGTTAACCTCAAAACTATGTCGAATATAGCGAATCCAACAACAATAATAGGACTTTCAAAAACCGAATAAAAGAACAAGACTACAAGAAGTTTTCAAGAAAATAAACAAGTTTATCAAGTAAGGTAAAAGTAATTGAAATTAAGAATTATTCCCTAGTTGCGTAGGTTGCTATAGTCTCATGGCGTTTAACTAGTAGAAGAAAGGAAGAAAAAATTTCTTTATTTTTTATGAGATCTTCATGTTTGCATGGCCAGTTGAGGTTATATCTATGAGCAATGATTTTTAGTTCTAAACGTTCTCTTTCGAGAGAAATACAGGTAAAAAGATAATGGTCGACGCTGTCCGGTTGTCCGCATATGGCACACAGATCATTTTGCTTATTCACAAATCGATGTAGATAATTTGAAAATTTGCCATGTCCGGTAAGAAATTGAGTAAGGGGGAAACTTGGAGTGATTTAATAATTTCGTCGACGTCGATTTAAATACCGTATTTTCCGGAGCGTAAAGCGCACTTTTTCCCGAAAATGGGGCGCGTCTTACACGCCGGCCAATACGGTATTCGGAAAATACCAATGGTTCTTAGTCTAAAAATACGATAAATTTTCTCTGGTAAATCTCTAACGTTTTTATATTAACGAACTGCGGAGTATATAGAAACATCGCCAAACGGCGGGGAATACACCGGGTTTGGCTAAAATACGCACGATAAAATGGGACAATTTTAAACTCCTTAAATAAACAAACAAATAAGTAACGTGTTTTTAACCAGGGTGGAAAAGCGCGCTTTAAAATTCAAAGGACGGCGGGAGGCGGAAAAGGGTGGTCTGTTTGTTTTAGTTACGGCGAGGCAACACCCGGGCGATCTGCCTAGGGGGATGCCTTCCGGGAAGTCTTTTAAAGGGTATAACTGGTCCCTATTTAGGCGTTACGGACGGGGAGAAAACCCGGGAAAATCCACGTATTATTGACATTATCTTCCGAGGTTGGCGCTACCATCCCCGGCACGTGAATTGTACGGAACAATTGGAGCCAGATTCACGTACAGTACGTAACACTTTTAGGGGATTACGGTTCTATGATTTCTCTTGTTCCCGATTTATTTTCACAGTCGTAAGTTTTACACCCGTCAAATATTTTTTTTTGAATTTATAAATTTCGTAAACTTTAATCATTCTTATCGTTCTTCGTTGTGATATTTTTAGTACGGCTCTCATTTAAGCGCGAACCGCATCCGTTCTATTCATTTCTGCAAACGTAAATTTTGCTTATGCTATTCAATTTAATTTAAAATCATTTTGTTTTGAACTAAATTATTGAAAATGTATATATATTAAGTATCCGGGTTTACAGTAGTAACTGAATGTGTTTTACCACAATGACTACATTACGAATGGGTCAAATTATAACACTTCGAATAATTGATTAAATATGTTTTACTCGATACTTTTATTAAAGTCGTCGATTGTTTTCCCGATTTTTTTTTTTTTTGAAGGTTGCAGTTTTCTCGCAGCTTTAATTGAACGTAACAATTTTTCTTTTCTTCCTCTTTTTAATCCAGTTTAGTGTAAATAATCCGCTAAGCTTAGTGCTGCGAACAGAAACCTTGAATCGGTTTACTTTCCTTCCACGTGATATTAAAGAAGACCTTATAAAGCTCTTTAATATCAAGACTACGAAAACAATGCATTGTTTGATCCGCACTGTAGCAATGATATGGATCAGAGAAGAAAACAAAAGAATCGCTTCCCAAAATTTACACGGCATCAAATAAAAGTTTCCACTTTTAATAACAATTCTCTAACCTTTTGGATTCCCCCCCGAAAGATAAAATATTTTATCTTTGTAAATTGATTAAAAATGAATAATACTTTAATAAAAGTCTAAATTAAAACTTCAGACTTTAATAAAAATATTATCGATTTTTTAAAAGAATTAATACTATTTTTCTTTCGTAAAAGTTAATGTCACTCTTCATAAAAAAAAGAAAAAAATAATTAACAGATTTTATTCTAGTAATATTTTAAATACCAAAATATTTCGAGAAATAATGTGAAAAAATTACATTAGAAACATATAGCAGTATTAAAAACAAGAATGTCAGCCTAATTTAATTCGAATCTATATCAACTTCTGTTCTTTATACAATAATTTAATTATTTTGTTTTAAATTAATTTTAACATTATTTCAACTCGTTTTATTTCTTTATTTTTCATGCATGTTTTGTTCATTTGAAAATTTCAAAACTTGATTCTGTAGATTTCTAAGTTCAAAATTCTCTCAAATAATTCATATAAGCAAATGTTCGGATGAAAAAAACAAATATAACAACAGACCCGTGTTTCTATGGTCACCTGTAAGTTCTTTCAAAACAACTGTTAATAATAATAATAATATTAACATTTGGTATGAATTTCTTATCTTTGATTCGAAAAATGCTACTTGGTTTAAAGAATCTGTAGCTTGAAAAAATTTATTACATTCCTTTCAATTTTCATATTTGTTTAAAAATTCATTGGATGAAATATCAATTATTACAGAAAACAGAAAAAAATCTTAGAAGTCTCCAACTACCAGACAATGTTTTATATCACAGTTTTTTACATTATGAGGTCTATCAACAGAACTACAATGAAAGATCAATGATTTTAAATTAATTTTTCCTCAGACTATGGGTATTAAAGTCATCATTCTTTGTATTATGTTTAGTTATTGTATTTTTATTTAAGTTATAATTGGATCTAAAATAAAATGACAACTGTATTACCATTAATATAAGGAGGTACTTCTGTATTGGAGTAAATTCCTTTTCAATAAATTATTAAGAAGTGAAAGTAAACTTGTCATCTTTTAATATGCTAATACATTACATTGAGAGAGAAACACTGGAATTGATTCCTGTGTTTACTTTTACATTTGTTTATAGAATGCTTATAATCATATTGATCCTAATTTATGACCAAGTTGTCAGTTTGTCTTGAAATATTCCCAAACAAAATCCTTAAATAATATACAAAAGTAAACAATTTTTAAATGAAATTATGTCTTCAATAACATTTTTAAATTTTTCAAAAATTAATTTTTACACTATTAAAAATACATATTTTTGTCGCTATTATCTTAAGATATTGTTTTAATACTAATTTATATACCTAGGTTGGATTCAGATAAATTGTAATCTGTAGAGATTATTTAAAGAAAATGGGTTGTTAAATAAAGAGGGGAAAAAAATCATCTCTTACATAAAAACTTTCCTCGAATTTCCATGAAAATTCTTGTACTTGTTGCATTCAATTGGACAATTTCTTCACCCACTATATTCAACAATTTTTACTTTGTTTTACTTATTTCATCCTTACAAATTGTCTTATTAAAAAAATATTCAAATGGTTAGACCATATCTAAATTCATATGTCCATTTTTCAACAGCAAAAGTAAAACTTTTATGCTAATGTAATCATATCCAAGATGACATGAACATTATAGAGTAATACGTGTCTTTGCTAACACGATACAAAGATAATGTCTTGTTTTTTCTTTTTACTTAAAACCCAAATAAAATTACAGAAGTAAATGTACAGTTTTTCTATATAGTAACATTTTTAGACCTGATATAATTGATAATATTGACTATTATTCACTTAGGAATATTTTCCTGTTCAGTATTTTACTAGGCTCTATTTATATTAGATGAACAATTGAATCAATTTGTTGAATGATTAATTGGTAGAACAACCAATTAATAAATTTAGCATGAATTTAAAGAAGACATTTTTACTATTCAAGTCTTTCTCTATACCCATTTCTATCCTAGACTATATATTCTAGAGATAATTAATATATATATACTTAGGGTCACCAACAGTCTGGAATTTCTTTCAGTTAATTTTTAAAAATTGTTTGGAAATGCAGTAAAAAATGAACAAGTTATGTTTTTTCTTTTTAAATTGTGCCTTTATCCTCAAGAAATTGGTACTACTAATTGTAATCAAAATTATTTTCATTCCCATTAATTTGTTTTTTATTTTATTTTTGTCCTTTCCACTTTGTGGACACTAAATGTCTGTTTTAAATCATACCCATTGCCACCAAATCTGCAATGGCAATAGCAGAGTGGTGAGGGTTGGGATTCGACACATCTGGAACAGACCATCCATGAAAGATTCCTGGGGTTTTTCAATACGTTCAGATTTGCTTTTAGATCCCAAATGTAGGCTAAGACCTTAACCAGTTACTTTAGCCATTCGACTTTCCATCATCATCATAAGTATCAAGAGAAGAAGGAAATGTTCCCAAGATTGTAGGTTTTCTTCTGCTCATCACTTTTTTCAAATTTATTTTTTCATATTGCATTTGGAATTTTTTATTCTGAAAGTTGGCAACCTTATATACAATAGTACTGTGTTTATATATATTATTAAAATCTACAAAAATTAACAAGGATGGATCCTGATTATTTATTTTACGATTTTAAAATTACTTTTTTATGTTTTTGTACAGAAGAATAATTAAATAAATATCTAGTTTTAAAAATATGTTCATAGACTTTTATTCTTGTTTCAGAATAAGTAAGAGATCACCTGTAGCTTCTAGCTATCATAGTTTAATAAAATAAAAATATCTTAATTTTGAGTTTTAAAATTATTTATTACTAATTTATAATATTATGTAAACTAAAAGCACAATTAGAATTTGTTTATTCAGTATAGTTTAGAAAATTCTTTGTCAAGTTGGAATGATTCATCTCAAAATGCTTCTTAAAGAACACAATTATCTTTATTTATTCTCATGTGATTTATTTACGTTTTTATTTAAGATATTTATTTCTAATTTATGTTATTTATTTACTAACTTCCATTCACTTTAGTCTTATCATATAAAAATACACAAATAATCTAAATAATCATTAAGATGTATACAGTATATTTATTTTAATTTGACCATCTAATCATAACATCTGAGGTGTAGTAATTACATTTTGATTACATTGATTCTTATAAATGTTAGCAATTATTATTATTAATAAATTCTAAATAATTTTGCAGATATATTTTCAATCTAAGAAATAGAACAGAATATTAATAGAATGGAATGAATTCATTATTAAACGAATCTCTTGGCAAATCAATGTATGCTGGATATTTACTAGAAAAATTACAAAATCAAAAACTAATTCCTAAGCTTGAAAGTAAGTATATATATTGTTACTGTATGAATTTTTTAATATAAGATATTTTGATTACTTTTTTTTGAACAGATGAATAACAAAATGTTAATAGGTTTACAGGAACCTTCATAAAAATAATTAAATGTATTCTACATGATTTTTAAATTAAGTTTATTTTTCAAAAGAACCAGACACTTAAAATTTCTCATAAGGCATTTACTTTTAGCATTCTATTTTCTTCAGTTAAAAATTACAATTATTTTTTTTTCTCAAAATAATTTAACTTTATAATTCTTTTTGTCTTTCAAACTTGTTTTCATTATAAAAAATAGATCTTGAAATCATTTCTTGATAAAATTACTTCTATAATAATGAACCTGGTTTTACTATCAGATATCTTTACTTCTTCTCAATGCATTTTCTTATGTAATAATAGATACAAAACTCTTTTTTGTATTTTTTTTCCTATTCCAATTTTAGTTATTCCTAATTTCAAATGCATCCTTAAGTCTGTTCCTTTATTAGTTTTTCCAAGATCTTTTTCTTTTAGACTTACTGTATTTTCAAGATGTTTGAAACTCCCCACTTATAAAGCAGATCCTATGGAAATAATGAAGACTAATCCTCTTGACCAAAAATTGAATGATAGTATGAAAAATGTTTTTATAAAATATTGAATAAAAACTTGAAATTATCTGAAAAGGATGAATCAAAAATCCAAGATTTTTCATGTAAAATTTGCTATTCCTTTTCTTAATATTTGAGTTAACTCTTTTAATTTATATAATGAAACTAAATGTCTTATACTAATCTTCCTATCGTTGGCCGGTTTGCGCTCTCTGAGCGGTAAGAGGGCTAAAACCACAAATAAATAAATAAAATCTTCCTATCATACTCTGCATTATCTTATTTAACATTGCTTTTGTGAAAATAATTGCTTTCTTTCTTCCATACATCAACAGCCTTAATAAATCAATCCCATTCATAGCCACATTATTCTTCTAACTTTTACATTTATTTTTAGTCTCTTATATAAGAAATTCAAATTCATCTAAATTTCTCTGATTCTTTACATTTTTTTTTTTTCTCTGTTATCAGGAATTATTATTATATTATGGTCAAATTGTAACTTCATAATGAAATCTGGAATTTTGAAGTACAGCTGATTATACTGTAGATCATAAGTTCATACATCATTATAATTCCTATTGTGTAGCTATCCTTTGAAATTACAATTAAGACTTTGCATGAGATAAAATTATGATTATAGCAAAATTTATGGAGATCAGCCCTTTATAAAGACAATGAAATAATAGACAGTAAAGGAAAAAAATGAAGATACTAATCCAGAACTTTTTCCAAGTGTTGAAAGCACTTTATCATTCCAATTCTATTAAAAACAAGAAAAAAAAGAGAGAGAGCGAGAAATGTGATAAAATTATGTCCAACAATAATTATTGAGAATGGTTTATTGTAATGAAAAACTTTCATAAAACTCTATAACAAAGATAAGTGACTTTAAGAAAAATTCACAAATGAAATAAAAATATCATTAAAAAATGTTCAACATTTGAGTAATTTACTTACTTTCAAGAAATTTTAAAACAAAGAAAATAATTTTTTAAACAAAAATACTGGCCTCCTTATGAAATATCTATAGTTAATAAATATAAAAATATGTAGGAATGCAATAATAAATTGATAAAAACTAAAAAATTAAAAAACAATTGAGACTGATAGACTTTGCCTTATTAATCTGTTGTCAAGCAAAATTTAAATACAGTATATGAAATATAATTCTGTAAGCAAACATTTGAAATCCTATCTCAAACAAGATTGTTTTAATTACAATATATATTAAAATGATCGTTCACATCTTTTACAAAAAATTTCTTAAGTATAAAAGTACAGGATAAATTATTTACAGTACATTATGTATTCTAAATGTTTATATATCCTCTATTATAAATTATATTAACATTGTTTTGAATTTAAAATAAATTGTTCTTACTCTTCTGTTCGAAGGTAAAATGTTTGAAGACGATAACTGTAATGTTACCAAACAGTTTGCTGAATTATTTATCGTGCTATATTTAAACAAATTTATAATTATTAAATTTAACATGAGATGGCAGCTTAACCATTTACCTCTAATCAAATTGCTTTGTATCTGATTATTAATCAGCCTTAATATAGCCCGATAAATAATCAGATAGATTATTTCGCAATACCAGTGTATCGGATTGATGTGTACAATATGATAATTATAATGCTGTGAAAAGTACTGTACTTAGGAAGTATATATGAATTATTTTAAACATTTTATGTTATTTTCATGGTAAAAATATTATTAATTACTAACTGATAGTTTTTAAAATACAATTATAAACTATTTCTATTGAAGTAAATATTCTAAAATTTAAAATTAAAGTACTTTTGGGTCTTACTGATACATTTTCAGAAGTTCACATAAATTTATAATTATTTTGTATATAGTCCAGTCATTTGTATTTGTAATTATATTGAAATTCTTTCACAAACATTGAAGTCTGTTATAAATCAATGCATGTAACTAAACCACCTTCAAGTCTAAATAACTGTCATTACACACATCAAATCTATTTATAAGAACTTTACTTTTCCCAAAATCAAAATCAAAATAACTTAAGAATTAAACATTAAAACACTAATTAAATTTCCTTTTTTGGCAATAATCTTTTTGAATCAATGCTGCCAGTAAGATTTCACTCCTTTTTATATATCATTTCGACATTCATGTTTTTTTCACAAATTGAAACTTTCTCCGTGCATCTGTGTTTTTATTCTTTCTTCCAATCCTTCAAACAATGTGATATCTACTCATTCCACCTCTATTTCCTTCTTTGAGATTATTTCTCCTAATGTAGTTCTAATCAAGTCTTTTTTTGTATTAAAGTTTTCACTTAAAATAATCATTACATTTTATTCTGTAATTTAAAAAAATCTTTTTGAAACCAAATTTTAAATACTTTTTTCTCCAAAATGAAGCAAAATTATCTGCAATTTGAACATAACATAAAAGCTAAAAAATTTTTAAATGGATATTATAAAATTGTATTTTCCTGCTTATTAACTAAAATTCACTTCAGTTAAAGCCAAGATTTTTTAACATACTTATGTAAATTATTATAATTTCTGTTTACTAAAAACAAAACATTAAATTTGTAAAGATTTAGTATAGCATTTATTCATATGCTTTTTTTCATTCATTGCGATATTTATTTTGGAAGATCATTAAAGAAATATTGAAGACTTTTCATAATAAAATTAAAAAATTGAATCCACATGAGAAATATTCAAGAAAGCTTCTCTAAATCGGTGGGTTTTCACAGGATAAAAATAAAATAACAATATGAAAGTATTGTCTTTTAATTCTGCTTATGTTTTTTTTTTGTTTTGTTGCATAACTTTATTATTTATTAAATTGAAATATGATATCATATTTGCAAATTATCTTGAATGCTTTTGATTTCTATTTACATTAAACAAAACAAAAACAAAACTTATTTCAAAAAGATGAGGGGAAAAAATGCTTAATTCTGGAAACCAAATTAAATTTTATTCAGAAATATTTTTGTTCTTTTATAAGATCATCATCATCAGCTGTGAAATTTATCAAGTGTCTTAAAATAAATACATTCAAAACAGAGAACAACTTTACATTCAAACTAATAATGTTCATTAATTAAATATCAAACTCAGCTTCTTTTAAATACTAAATAAAACAATTAACACCTTCTATTGCTGAGAATACTTTATTTAAACACAATTTTGAAATACGTTCATATGCCAGTTCACCTGAAGATGGCCTATTCCATTAGGCTGAAAACGTTTGTGTTTAAATAAAATATTCTCAGTGATAGAAGATGTTAATTGTTTTATTTAATGATGTTTTTATAAAAGAACAAAAAATGTTTCTGGATAAAATTTACTTTCATTTCCTGAATTAAGTGCTTTTTTCTCATCTTTTTGAATATAGCACCAAGTTGAAGTATTATTTTTGTTGATATTTATTTGCTTTTACTGCATTTTAAAAATTCTCTTAAACAATATTCAATATGAACAAACTATATGAAGAATCCTTATACAATATTCAAAAAATTAAAAAGAAAAACAAACTCACCTAATACGATACTTTTCCGTTTAGGAGGTGAATGCGAGGTCATGCCAACGGCTGGAATTATCTTTGGACAATGATAACTTTTAATGGATTGAAAATTTTCCAATATGGTTGGTATTTGACTTTTTTGTTCTATTTCTAAAATAAATAACAATTAGCATATTTTATCATATTGTATAAAAAGCATTCTTGTATAGTTAATGATCTAAAAGCAAAACATAAAAAAGTTATTGCTGAATTTTAGTTTATGGTGTATACTTAATAAAACTTTTTAACATGTAACACTTTAACATGTACTTTTATAAATACTTAAAGAATGTAAGTAACTTTTCTATTTTATTCAGCTGAAATAAACTTATGACTCTAATTAAGAAGGAAAACAATGCTTGTTCTTTTCAAACTTAATGAAGTAAATAAACTTTCAACATATTATTTGCATATTTAACCTTATAACTTCAACTACATACAGAAGGCCTTAACTTCCAAAAAATACTTAAATTCTAATATTTTTGGCATGCTTTATACCATTCTCAAGCCATCATGTAGGAAATAGATTAGGATTATCTGTTATTCTGTTCTATTTCCTATGTGCCATGTTCGTAGGTGAAAAATTAGCAGTTAAATAGTATTTTTCTGTAAATTTTAGCCTTTTATAAATTAATTAAAAAATTACATGCTTAAATAAGCTTATAAATTTTTTAAGAAGCTTAAATATTTACATTTCTTAAATAATTAACATTCTTATTCTATGATTAAACGTCAATGCATTTGCTTCACATCAATGCACAATGTAAATGTCAATGCATTCACTTCTTAAAAAAGAAATCACAAATATTAATTATTAGCATATCTGTTATAGATTGGAATTAATATTTGCATAATTAAATAAATTAGCATAACCAAAAACTTGAAATAAAATAATAAACAATAAATTTTTTAATTTAAAAGAATATTTAAGTAGTTAATCAGGATGTTTAACCATTTACTCTTTAAAGACTCTTTAAAATATAATTAAAGATATTTTTAAATGTACTTTAATTACAATAATAATCATTAAATTGAATTTTGAATTAGAAACAGAAATAAATAATGAAATACAACTGTAGCTAGAAATAAATACAAAGTAAAACTTAATTAGCATTAAATAATTTAGTCTGTGTTTCTCCAAGCTTACACTAGAGAATGCTGATTTCTATTCTATCACACAAATGTTAACTAGATATAAAAATTTTGATTTTAATGTATTGCAGCTTGCATGACACTGATTTAGAATTTTTCAAAGAGCTTAATAAAGCCCAATACTTTTTAACTTATATAAAAATAGAAAACATAAATTAAGATACATTCAAATTATATATAATTTTCATGAGAAAGATTTATTTCAAAAATTTAGTTTTAGGTTTAGAAATTTATTAAACATATAAATATTAAATATTTGTTCCTAACTTAAATAAATTGAAAAGAACAAATAAGTAAATATATAAATCAAATTAAATTCAAGATAAATAAAATAATTTATAAATTTAATCATTCATATCTAAAGATTGAAGAAAGTTTGAATAGATCAAACTTTCAAACTTTGCTTAATATTCTTTACAGCCACTTAATTTTAGATTCTCTTAAACATAATACTTTAATATCCTTAAATCACTTTTCATAAACCAAATAAATTCTTTATATTTTGGTTTGTATTAGTAATTTTTGGCAAGCAAAAACTAGATTGATTAGCTTCAAGAAAATAGCTTGTTTAAATACTGTAATGCCAGTTTCCCACTGGTTTCAGTTTCAATAATAAATCCTTAACTTTCTCAGAGTAAAGCTTTTAAAGTATTTTAATAATTTTTTGCATTTCCTTTTATTATTTTAGTAAAAGTGAATGGAAATTATAAAATATAAAATGCCAAAAGCAATCATAATAAACAAAGATATTATAAACTTAATACTACTGGAGAAAATAATGGTGATAATTAGGAATGTTGAAAGTGCTGAAGCTTTAGGATGGTGAAAATTAAGCATACATTGAACTTAAGCTGGTCAACTAAATCTTCAATTATGATGGAGAAGAACAAAATTAAAGAAGCAGCAAAACATTGGAAATATTACATCCTTTATCATCTGTAAAATAGGAAGGCAATGGAGATAAAGGAAAGATCTATAAAATTATGGATTAAAGATCTACATTAAAAAACATTCCCGTAAGTCTTTCAATAATTCAACTTAATGCTTTCAGTTTATATGAAGCTTTCATGAGATTTCATTCAAACAAAGATTGATATAATTAATTTAATAGAAGAGTGGAAGAGAAGAACAGAAGAGTCAATTTAATATTATATATTATTAAATTGTTGGGAGTATCTGTTAATACAGATAAAAACTTTGTAAAAATTAAGATTATTCTGCTTGTCAGATTTTTATGTTGATGAAACAGCTATTTTGGAAGATATCTACACAAACCTATTTGGAAAAAAATGTGAAGAATGCATTTGGCTACAAAATTTTTACAAATTTGCATTACTACTTGATAGAAACATAAGAGCTGACTTTAAACTTAAAAATCATGTTAGTTTGCCTTTTGGGATCCGATAACTTTGAGGTAGCGAATCAAGAGTTGGAGTAAGAGAAAGCAGCCAGTCATCTGAAAATCAAACTCAAATGTCTGGATTACAGGAAAAATTTCTCAAAATCAGTTTTTTCTTTTTGTTTATTCCAGTTCAACAATATTTTGGAATGAACAATTTAGCATTCAAAGCATTCTACTTTACGACACTGTTTCTGGCCATCTGCAAGTATTATAGTTATAGATCTCTGTCCAGAAATTAAAGTTGTTTCTATCTTGAAATATTTCAAGTGATATTTTGATAATGAATCACACAGTCAAAACCATCTTCAAACAATACTACTTCAGCAAAATAATCAAGCTGCTTGTCAACATAACTGACAAGATAATGGACTCACCCTGAATATTCTGGAAAAGCTTCAACACCTAGAATGCCATAAAACTGCAGAATCTTCAGCTAAGATAAGGGAATTAACAATTGAAAAAAATGTTGATCTCATGACCAAATGGACTCAGAATACCACTGAGAATGCAAATGAATTGACTGTCATGAAAGAAAAAGTATTATTTGAAGATGATGATGATTATCTATATAACACTGCAAGAACTTTGACACTGAAGAAAATAACTGAAGCTTTAACCCATCTTAAGCAATTTTTAAACATCCCGGAAAAATATGATCCAAATGCACAGAGAAGTTCACAGATTTGTAGAGCTGCAGAGAAAGCCAATATTCTGTATGAAGAACATTCTGTAATAATTACAAAATGTTTTTCATTCTAAATATTGGGCAGTATCGATAAAGGATACTAATTATGTATGATAAATGTCAACTCAATTTTCAATGTTTATGGAGACAGAGCATTTTGTCTTTAGGTGGTATATGTTTCTCAAAACTGAAATACACATAGATTTGCCTTGATTGAACAAATTTGCAACTTATTGGTGGCCTTGGTTCAACAAGTTGCAACAAAGATGCAGAAAATCTAATCTGTCAGATATTTTCCTTGTTGTTGCATCACTGAACGAATCAATGATGAAATCAGAAACACATGTTAGATTGCATTGGTTCTTACTACATTCAAGAGAGATGAATGCTGTTTGTTGCACATGTTCAAAGTCAGAACAATTTAAAAATTGTAATCCAGCACATCGTGTAAATATCTGAATCACTGACAGATCTTGTAGACAAATTTCTGGGTATGGAAAAATGTCAGTACTAATCATATCTTGTAAATCAGCCTTAAAAATAGGTTCACACTTCAGCCCACCAAACTGATCAGACTGACTCTGCATCAAGTCTCCATAGCAACAAATCTTTAATTCACCAATGGGTAACACCAAAAGCAAACTTTTCTTTTACACATTTTTGTAAGAATATGATTGATTGTAAGATCAACCTCTGAGGATAAATAACTCAGCTCCATTGCCAATTGAACTTAAGGTAATGTCCAATGGCTCTAATTGACAAATTCTTAATATTTGTTAGTAGATACCCCTGCTTTGTTCATCTGCAGTTCAATATCTTCCATTATAAAAGGACTTTCACCATTGTGCAATCCTTCAATATGGGAGAGCATTATTGCCCTTTGGCTTCTACTAGTTTCTTGTGATATTCTTTTGCAATTAATCCATCTTTAACAGCAAATTTTAGGTAGCTTTTCCACTACAAAACAAGATGACATTCTCAGTCAAACATTTGGACAGTTTTTGATAGTTGCCTAAGTTGATATCATCATCATGGCATTACTATTGTATGCATCAATTTCAAATTTATATCAAAAATTTTGTAATGTAACAAAATTAATGTGTGTGTTTTTCTTCTAAAAATATATTAAACTCTGAGAAAAACAGTTGCCATGATTTATCAAATGATCCTCATACAAATATAAACAACCAATAACTCAATTATTTGATAAATGCCAAAACTATGATGATATATTGGGATAGGATGTGGCTACTATTAATAATTAAGAACTAAATAATTTTGCCTATCCATATCTAAATTATTAATAGTTCTGGAGGCAAAGGTCAAACAGACAGAGGTCAACATATGTATTTGGTAAGCGGGAGTTGTGGGTTCAAGTACTGCCCAAGGCAGATTCTTTTCTTCCAGAATTTTCTAAGTTAAATATTTAACTTTTTAATTTCTTCCAGAATTTTCTAAGTTAAATATTAATTAATTAATTTGCTTATTTATCTTAATTACAATTGGAAAAGTCTGAGTAAGACAAAAGATTTCCAACCCTGAATAACAATAAACCACGTGACAATAAAATAAACAACAAATAAAAAAAGCTAAAAATACATTTAAAAAAAATTAATGTATTCTAAAGTTATAAAGAATTCTTTTGCAAATATTTTTAGAATGAGTAAAATTTTCATAAAGTATACTTTTGAAGTTTGTCATATTTTCAGAAATGCGATAAAAAATTATTTTTGAGAAATGGATAATCTAAAAAAAGGGGAAAAATAAATAAGTAAGTAATTACCTAAAACCAGCAATAATTCTCTTCAAAACAAATGTTTTCTTCTGTTTTTAACAATCATCATGGAGTACATATTTTGACATAATATAGATCTGCATAATTTATATAAACGTCAAATTTTTTAAAAATAGAAGACCAGTTTGAAAACTAATTTTTTTAAAGCAGCTACATTGAGCATGTGCATATCTTCAAGACACGCAATTTTTAAATTTTTGGAATGGGCATTCTCTTACAAGTATTCCAATGCATGGAAACCTAATGATGAACCATTAAAAACAGAAGAAAACATTCGTTTTGAAAAGAATTATTGCTGGTTTTAGGTAATTACTTATTTATTTATTGAATTCTATGCCAGTAATATCATGGTGATTGGAGAAAAAATACATGGAGGGTTACGAAGATTACATTGAGGAGTTTTCAGACAAAGTCGATCAGAATGCATTAAACTGTTGAAATATTTAAAATATAAAAGCCAATCGAAATATTATTCGTTCTGTAAAAGAAGGTAGCCCCAGTCTGGACCTGGCGATGTTCAGATGATTAGTAAAAGACAGATGGCATAGTCAATTTAAAATCAAATTTATTTTATCCAGTTCTTTAGAGAATTTTTTAAAATGGAAGGGGCTGCCATGGCCCAGATCAATAAACCATAGTCTGCATGTGATTGGAAGTTAATTATTAATTTATTTATAATTACTAAATTTATCAAGAGATAGCAGCATAACCGTCTACTTTAGGTAAAATATTTATTATTATTTAATTATTATTAGTAGCCATACTTTAGTCCAACATAATCTGGCAGTTTGTTTGGCATTTAATGACCTTCATATTTGTATCATCTTATTGTAATTGTAATATAAATATATAGCACTTTCTGTTGCAACTAATATTAATGTAGTTTTATCACACAGACAAATCTTGGTAATTATTGATAAAATGATAAATCCCTTCATAACAATAAGAAATATAGTTCCATATACAATTTGTGTTAGCTTAACATAAAATTCTCCTAATTGAAGGATATCCTCTACTGCAATAAATCTGTTCAGTGATACATTCCTTTTTTTACTAAACTCATCAAATATAGTGTATTTTCCTTTCTCTACAACAATGATAAAGCAGTAAACTAAATTTTAATTCATTTTAATTTATTGCTTATTTTTCAAACCAAAATGTGGTACTCTCTCACCACAAATGTTACCTGCAATCAGTAAGCATCAGCACAGATGAAAAATTAATTATCATTGTTTGCTTCTTTTTAGCATTTGAGTGAAATTTTTGATAACATTTAACACTAAACAATGAAGGAATCCAGTTTTAACATTTTTAGAGCAGTTTAACACATTTTTTTTTTTGGGCTCAAATTTATCATTTCAAGTTTTTCAAAAAATTATAAACTTTAGTAACATTCATTACAGTCAAAACAACAAAATTTGAAAGAACAAGATCTCCATAGGGAGAAGTAATTGTAAGAAAGCATGTTTTTACATTTTCAGAATTAGTATAATTTGCAACACTAAGACATCTCTATATAATTTCTGGGGACTTTATTTATGTTAAATGAGTTTAACATAAATAAAGTTCTCTTAGAAAGTGTACAAAGGTGTCTTAGTATTGCAAATTACACTTATTAAAATAATTAAAAACAGCATTCTCGTTAAGAAATTATATTTCAGAATTAGTTTATTTTTAGTTTTACTTACTTCATTTGAATATAGCAATAGAAAAAAATAAAATCAATAAATCATGCTGATGGATAATTTAATGTATTTATGCAACTTTCTATGGATTATTATCTGGAATGAACAGAGAATTTAACATAATACTCTAAAAAATATACATATGTATAATATTTAAGATACAACAGCCATTTTCTAACCTTAATGAGTTAATTCTAAAAAAGTTTTAGATTTCATCTCATTATGTTCAATTAAACTTTTGTTCATATAAGATAAGTATACTTTATGTGAACAAAAGTTCATTTTGTCCTATCATTAGTAAGGTCTGATAATTCTTCCAGAGTCAATCAACAATTCCATCCATCCAACTTACTTGCTGTCTGCTTTTTTGTCCAAACTTTTCTTAGTATAATTGTTTTTCTAATTAACTGTCTGTACAAATTATATCTCAGCAAAGAAATTGCTATGATAAAACTTTTTGTTGTAAATTATTTTGACAAGTAAGCAAATTAGATTTGATTCTGTACCAAATTATTACTCCAAACTATAATTAAAACCAAATTATTGACTCTTCTTTAGACAATGTTCATTTTCACTTTTGGCTTCAAAGTAAAGTAATATATAGTTTGAATCTATATATATTCTAACTACATATAACCAAATACTAACTAACAAAAAATTAATTATTCAAAACTTAATTACTTACCAGTTTGGTTGTTATTTGGCTTCAATATTCTAGACATTTCGACTCTGTTTCTTTTATTTGACATTAATCTTTCTAATTCTGCAATATCATAATCTGCAAAATGCATTTATAAATAAATTTGTAGATATCTTGCAACTATTAAATAAGTGCAAATATTAAAATAATTCAAACACAAAAATACAGTTTTATCATATAAAAAAAACCTGAATTATATTACTAATCAAATAAAATCAGATTCCTTATTCTGCTATCACCTGGTTAATTAAATATAAAAATAATACATTATTTGGATTAATTATAAAATTTAATACAAGATAATAAATTGCCTTTTTAAATTGCGTAATACTTGTACATTTAATAGCTAAGTTAAAGCCCAATAATGACTATAGTTTTATCATTTGATTTGAAACACAGTTTTATTTTTTCACAACCGTACTATTTATAAAATCTCTTATTGAGACAGAAAAAGTTTACTTTTTACAATGAATACATACATTACAATGCATAAAACATTATTCTGAATATTAAAAGTAAAAATTAAACTGTGAACACACAATAAAAATTTATACTTCATGTTACAAGAACCAAAACTGACAGAAAGTACTACTGAATAATATCTTGAAAGTTTTATCTGTCAGATGAAAATATACAAAAGAGTGAATTTGTCATATGAAAATCAATTTACAGGTATCAAAGTATTACATACAAAGTGTGAGTTTGAGGACCATCTGAAAATTAGAATTTAAAATAAAAATTTAAACTATATAGAAACCTATATAATACTTTTTTGAAATAATTATTTATATCCAAAAACATTTTAATTAAGTTTCAAAAATACTCAAACATAAATAAACTACAATAAATATTGTTTGAAATGTAAAAAATGAGGTTTGATTGATAAACAAAATTTCCATTTTTATGAAATTACTTTGGAAAGAGATAGAATAACACAACCAGTTTTAAAAAGTTGTAAAAATTATTTACTTTAATCATATATATTCGTTTTTCAATCCTACAATTTATAATCAACATTTAAAATGACACATTTTTCCAAACCTTCAATCCATTTTTATTCTTTGCATGATAAAATCTTTCTGCTTTTTCTTAAATCAACTGCCATTCAATGAAAATTCTGAACAACTGGAAGTCTAATGCTACTAAATATAGGCTATAAAGAAAGCCTTTTAACTCAAGGTTTGTAAGCATTTTCATTGTTTTCTTATTGCAGTGTGGTCTGACATCATTAGACTTATGGTTGCTCCTAAAATTAAAAGATGTGTCAAAAGATCAGTACTTTTCATTGAATGGCAAAGTTCAACTTACTGTATGGAAGTTGATCAAGGAAAAATCATGACTTTTCTTGCACAGAAGACAAAAGTGGATTGAATGTTTGAAAAAATGTCATTCTAAATGGAGATTATGCTGAAAAATAAACAAGCATGATTATAATAAATTATTTTTACACCTTTTTAAAACTGTTCACATTATTCTAACTCTTCCCAAATTAATTTTATAAAAATGGAACCCTTATTTATCAATCAGTCCTCATATTATAAAAATAAACTGTATGGAAATAATTGATGTGTACAAAGTATCCTAAATCATTCTAAGTAGACATGTTTTCATAAAACTTAGTGAATATTTTATGTCCTATTTAAGTAGACTTCATTACAAAAAGATTTACTATTCCATATATAAATATGATCAATATTAAGTGTAATTAAATTATTTATATTTACTGTACATATTAAAATAGCATGTAAATTGCTTTTATTCAATCTTTCCTTTTATTAAATGTATAATCATGTTTTATTTTCAGAATTTCTAAAGATTTTGTTAGAAAACAATAAATTGAATTATTTGAAAGCTGAAAATTCCACAGATTTGGATTATAATGTCAAAATTTTAATAATTTCTGTATTGATACAGCTTTTTTTCTTTTCTTATAGAAAATACTTTGTTCTATTGAAAAACTTAGTAATCTTTTTATGTACATTTTCAATAGTGCAGAATGTTCTTATAAAATTTCACAATTCTATTTAAAAATAAAAGTCAAAATATTTAAATATGGAATTATTTAATATTACAGCTCATGATAATTAAGCAAATACTACCAAAAATATAAATTCTATTTCAATTATTTTTTTATTAAAAAAATTTTTTGTATCTTAAACTATAAACTATAATAATTTTGATACTTTCAACACATTAAACTGGTCACTGTAAAATAAAGCTGTTTCTAACCAGAAAGCTGTGAGATCGTCTACAAAACAAGTTTTTGGATAAAAGAGACATTATATATAGGAACTAAAAAAACATTAAACTGGTGTTAAAAAATAAACTATAAAATCACAAACAACATTTATCATTCATGCTGACAAATAATATGTAAAAGTAGTAAGAACATACCTATATCTCTGTTGCTCCAACTAAGACAACAAGATACAACAGGAGAATATATATTTTCTTCTTCGATTCTATCAAACATGCAGTTTTCAGAATTCTCTTTTCTATGCCTGAAAAATTAATAATTAATTTAGATTTCAAAATTGTATTCAGAAAATATAATTTATTGTTCTATACATATTACTTTAAAATTTTATTACATCATATTACTGATGCTAAAATTATAACAGATTTTCATGTCTAATTATAACATCAGTAATAATTTTATTAACATTTATTAATAAAAATTATTAAAATAATTATAATTTAAAGAAATAATCTGATGAGACAGCAAATTAATAAGTTCATTATTATTTTTATTGGAACATACGTTAATTTATAGTGAAATGCTTTTAAGTATCTCTATTCATCCTCAGACTTTCAACAAGTCAAACAAAATAATATTTAAAAAATTTCAATAATTCAAATTATTCAAATTTCAATTTCAAATATTTTTTAGATTTAAATTATCTGTACTCTAGCAAGCACATTATGAATTAATTAAATAAAAAGAATTGCATAGAAGTTTTATTGATCAAAACACTGATAATATTAATGTATGAAATATATTCTTCTTAAATTACATTTAGATCATAAACTAGTTTTATTTCAGTGCTTTAATTAAATAGAAGTATTTAAATGTTGTTCACAAATTAATGAATTAAAAATGAATTAGAGAATCAAAAAAGCTTGTTTGAACTAGATTCGACAGTAAAATTCTAAAGGGTCTGCAAAACATTCAGAGAGTAATACGGTTATTTTCTTAAAATATGCTGAAAGAATTACTATGAATTTACTTATTTTTTATATGATTAGTACGCATATAAACCACTTTTCTCAAAGAACGCATTTTAATTTTGTTCTCCACCACAAATTCAAATTTACACTTACTGTATAAGATGCACTTAGCTAATGGAAATCAACATGCCAACTGAAGCAAACTTTTGGCATAGCATGTTAAGTGCAGACCTTATATGGTCCTGTGTATTATTTAATATATAAATACTGTAGAAACACATTATCTAAAACTTCAGATTTCCCAAAATGGTTTTAAAAAATTAAAACATGTAGCATTCTTTTTTTTTTTGGCATCGACATCAAACTCTTCATGTAACTAGAAATTACTATGTCATCTGTTGATTGTGTATCCATGAAACTAGGTTATGTACTAGCATTATGTTAGATTTTGAGTAAATTTACTTAGTCTCAAATACAATAATTGCATTACAATATTTATGGTCCATGAAACTTTAAATGCATAATGCTTGATGTACTCAAAACACAAAAACAAATGAGTTTCTGAATTATTCAAAAGAGACCTGTCACATGGTCCGTTTATCCGAATCAATTGGGGACTGGGGTTGTTCGGATAACTTATTTTTCGGATAACTGATTATGCACAAAAAAATATATTAACCTATCCCGTGTTGAAATTTTTCTCCGTTGCGTGTCGCTTCGCATTGAATTTTTGTCGATGTTAAGCCTAACGTAAACTTTTGAAAATAATAATCGTGGCTATTGTATCGTTAAAAATGATTTCTTTACGTTTTACAAACAAAATAAATACATTGAAAAATATAAAAACAAATAAAAATTATACTTTAGGCCAACTGGAATTCTTTCAGATAACCGACGTTTCGGATAACCAACTTTCGGATAAACGACGCTCTACTGTATTTGTATAATCTACAATATCAGTCAGTGTTGATATCAGCTGTAAAAATTTCATGAAGTATTTAAAATATTTCACTCAAATCAGCAAGAAATAGCAAATGAATGTATATTTCTAAATATTTTACAGTTTGACTCCTTAATTCAAAATTTTCAGTATTAGAAATTCTGTGTGATTATAAAGTCAGTTTTTTAATGTCATATTATATGAGGTGTGGCTAGAAAATAATGAGACTGAAGCTGGAACTTTAAACCTTGAGTAGTATATTCACTTTAGTTGTACTTCCCTTCAATGTATGATCCTTCTGCTTCCATACAGTGCTGCATTTGCAACTTCCATTGATCATAACAATGCTGCAGGTCATCTTCTGCAAGGCTATGCAGAAATTCCATCATTATTTTTCTTGACAACAGAAACTGAATCAAAATGGGGTCCCTTCAGACTTGACTTTAGGGAAAAGGTAAAAGCAGGGGTGGATTGGCCCTAAAATTTTTGTGTGGAAAATTCATTACCAGTCCAGCCCATGAATATAAAAAATGTATTTTTTCTATTTATATTTAAATATATTCAAAATACAACATTGACAAAAATTACAATAAGCACAAGTCTATATTCTACAATATCAATTTTTTATTTAGAAGTTTGCTTTGTTGAACAATAATATTAATGATATCATCAGAATGTATTTCGTTTAAAAAAATCCTTCTCCACTAACATTAACACAAAGGCTTCTAGATTTTCTTGCGAGATACTTATAAGTATCTTTAGCCTGCTTTTAATTAATTTTAACATAGAAAAGCTTTGTTCACCAGACACTTGTGTTACAGACGTAGATAGCAGATATTTGTATGCTTGACCAAGTATAGAATAAGCGCCACTTAACATGTTATATCTGAATAATATATTATAACAACAAATAGAGCAATTTTTGCAAGCAAAGCAATAAGAGGATAAAATTGCATCTTTATTAGTTTCTACTTGATCATCAGTAGAATGTTCATTTTCATTTAGTTTTATAAAAGTTTCATTGACATTTTCCTTTAAAATATTCCATGACGATTTAAAATGTTTCAATTCTGAAATTATATTGTGTTGAGTACTACTGGATTAAACTGTATTAAAATACTGCTTAATTTTTGAAATGCGTTTTCAGAAATATTTAGTAACGGTCTCGTAAATTTTGGTCTAATGTGCTTTGAACTCGCTGTAAGATGACAGTCGAACTCTCCCCCACCTTCCCTGATCTAGACGAGACATGTGAATTTGATGCGGGAATGCGACAATTAAATCGTCTTACACTCGTTCCTGTTTACAAAATAAATCGTTGATTTATTAGCTTTAGCTCGACAACCAGTTTCCTATTGGAGAGGGGGTGAGGTCCTGGCCTCACACTATAAAATAGATTATTTTTAATTAAATCGTTTGGAATACAGAGAAATTATTATTGAATTAAATTTTTACTTGCCTAAAATAAAGGAAATAATATAAGTGGCCATTAAATTTGTTATGATTACAATCATTGCTTTGGTGGCTAGGTACAAAACTAATAACTTGCATTTCTATAGTTTAGCATTAAGATTGATAGGAGTGGTGAATGGTTTCTAGCAATGTAAACAAATGACCAATTTTCTCTGTTTAGAAGGTAGTTTTGATTATTTTTCTCCTAGAATGCTTTCTGTTTGGGCCGAATCGGGCTAATGTAGTGTTTGACTCAGATCGGCCGAACTAATTTAACTTCGGATACGGGTAGGGCCGGGTAAAATAATACAGGCCTACACACAGTGCCGTAACTAGGCAGGTGCAACAGGTACACCCGCACAGGACCCATTTGGAAGAGGGTCCCAAAATGTACGTGTTGGTTTTATTATTTTCCCAAACCTAATTAATTAAGGGGCCTAAATGCAAGTTTTTGCACAGGGCATAGGAATGGCTAGTTACGGCACTGCCTACACTTATACCAATATTATATGTAAAAATTGAAATTTACCTTACTTAACAAAATAAATAAATGAATTTTTTAAAATTAAACTTAACCAAATGGTACATTATGTACATATTTAAAAAAAAAACGGCCCAAATTCTATACGGCCCATGTGGAATTTTCCACATTTTCCACATGGCCAGTCCGCCCCTGGGTAAAAGTCACATGGCAATCACGGTGGTCAGGTCAGGCAAGCATGGCGAGTGTTCAAATAGCATGACTTCCTTCTTGGCCAAAAACTACTTCATTGACAGAGCAGAATGAGCTGGTGCATTGTCCTAATGGAGAATGAAATTATTTTGCCACAAGTGTTGCCGCTTTCTTCTAACCCTTTCCGACAAAGATTCCAGAACTTCTTTGTAGTAGTATCAGTTCACTGTTGTGCCTTCTGGAACCCAGTGTTCCAAAATTACACCCCTAATGTCAAAGAACACAATGAGCATGGCCTTGAACTTAGACTTGCTTTGTCGCACTTTTTCATCCTTTGTGACTGTGGTGTCTTCCAGTGCATGGATAGACACTTTGTTTCAGGATTATACTGGAATATCCAAGTTTCATCACAAGTTATGATGCTGTCCAGAAAGTTTGGCATCAATCAAAATTATCACCTTTTTATAAATTAAATTAGCAATCATCATCAGTTAAAAAGATTCTTTTTAACTGATGATGATCGCTAAAGACGATCGAAAACGTTTTTATAATACAGTAGAACCTCGAAAACTCGGCCTAATGTGGACCAAAGGGTAGCCGAGTTTGTGAAAATGCCGGGTTATCGGGAATGGGGTTAAAAAAATAAGTACGAGTGTTTCCTCAGAAAATAATGTACTGTACTTGTATGTATTGTTTACTTACAAATATAACAGAGAATAAACTGCCCAAATACCCTTAAACAAAGGAAAAGTACGTCCTTTATGAAGGCATAGAGCCTTTACTACATGAAAATGAAAATTAATGAATACACTGTGTACAGTAATTTACCCGATAAGAGCAGACCTCAGAAAAATACTTTATGAGAGCTTTTATACTTTTATAAAGCTGTCTATAATGAAAATTAATTAACTAAGGATTTTTTTGCCCTGCCAGGTGAGGCCGAGTTATCCGGAGTGCCGGGTTATCGAGAGCCGAGTTTTCGAGGTTCTACTGTATTAAATTATTTGCTGGAATTTGTAAAAAGGTGATAATTTTGATTAATTCTTTCTAGTTCCAGTACAAGTTATTATTTTTAAGTTTGGCATCTCTTCAATTTGAGCCAAAATGTCAGAACAAATTCACTTGTGATTCTCTTTCTGCTCTGGGGACAGCAGACGTGGGACAACCTTAGCACACACTTTTTCATGTTCAGTTTTTCATGCAAAATTGCCTCACATTCTCCTTATCCATATGTTCAATATCTGCAATCATTCTTATGCTCAGTCTTT